AGGGACATGGTAAACTCAAGGCAATCCTTGAGGAAAGTATGGATAGATGTTGAAGGTAGTATGGGACCATACTACAGTAAGTAGAGGATCTGTACGCGAGTCAAGGAGGGACGAGATAGAACCAGGGAACTTATAGTATGTGAGACAGTCTGAGGTTATATATGACCCTGACGATGATGTGTTTTGTTTCAGAATGGTGATGATTACGAGACACAGAGGAGGAGGTGCAGGGTTAGGATCAGGTTCCGAGCCAGTTGATGAGGGACTACGTAAGGTCATTGCTTCTGAGATCACTAGAGGCATCCTTGAGTCGACCCTAGTGATTCGGGTCAATCAAGGATGGGGTTATTGAGCTGATAGAGGATCGCCTCAGGGAATTTAGGAGTGACTGGGCATCTATCCAATCAGGGGTGCTCACATTGTCTTTAAGGATTCAGGGGATGCGGTGCGCCATATTTCCATAAGGTGAAGGACCCCATTGCTGTCAGGAGATGGATTGCAGACATGGAGTTTGCTCGTTTGACGAGCTTCTGCCCTGAGGGGTCGAAGGTCTTGTACGTTGAAGGATGTTTGAGGGACAGGGCTAGAGATTCGAGGGAGTCAGTTGGTGATTCGTTGGGAGCCTGAGTCGTTGAGGCTATGACTTGGTCTGACTTTGTGACTAGGTTTAGGGTTGAGTTTGCGCCGGATGTGGAGCTTCAGCAGCTGACTAGGGAGTTTCTTGACATAACTTAGACTACTGAGATGGTGGCGGAGATTGCCGCCAAGTTTTGGGAGAGGGCCTTATTGGTGCCTCAATATGCAGGAGATGAGGAGACGTGGAAGAACCGCTATCCTGATATGTTGAGAGCTGATATCCAGGAGCATGTCAGCTACTCAGCATGCCCGAACCTGGATTCATGATTTCCAGGGTGAGGGAGAGGGTGATTGATTTTGAGCACCTTAGGAAGAGGAAGGCAGAGACGAAGCAGGGTACAACGGTTTAAGGAAAGAAACCCAAGGGATCCGACATTAGGTCGAAGGGCCAGTCGGGCCAGAGCCACTGCAAGAAATGCAGTAGGCCGCACGAGGGAGCTTGTCGATTGGGATCATCGGACTGCTACAAGTACGGCAAGAAGGGGCACTTCAGTAGGGATTATACTGCCCCTACCCCCATATTCCAGACATCAGACCTAATTTGCTTCCATTGCAATCAGAAGGGACCCAAAAAAGTCCGATTGCCCGAGATTAACATCAGCAACAGCGCCAGTGGTGGCACCAACTCCAACGACCCTACGGATTACTAAGGGCCGACAGAGGCTCCAGTGGTGAGGAGCCGAGCTTTCCAGTTGACTTTCGAGAAAGCACGCATAGCACCCGATGTGGTGACGGGTATGATTTCTTCTCCTTAACTTTATTTATATGTTGTTTATGATATTGATGTACCATATTATGTGTTTTGTTTAGGATCTTTCCATGTGAACGGTATTCCGGTTCAGGTGTTGTTCGATTCGGGTGCTACCCGATCATTTGTCTCTCTTGCACTTAGCAAGATGTTCCCTGAGTCTTCGGGCATGTTGGATTTCCCTCTAGCGGTCGAGATTGACGATGACTGATCAGTACATGCATCATAGGTTTTTAGAGAGTGTGTTCTGAGACTGTATGAGGAGCGCTTCCTCGTAGACTTGGTTCTCGTTTCTTTTGGTGGGAACAAGGTTATTATAGGCATGGATTGGTTGAGCCCCAATAGGGCAGTGATCGACTGCGCGCAAAAGTTGGTACGGGTCAGAACCCTAAGTGGGGGAGAGCTGGTGATTCAGGGAGAGAGGCCACAACGTGGACCAGCTTTATGTTCAGCAGCAAGGGCTAGACGTTACCTTCAGCAGGGTTGCGTAGGGTATGTTGCCTATGTTATGGATACCTGGGAAGCGGGTAGGGCGACGGTGAGCGATGTACCAGTGGTGCGAGAGTACGTGGATGTGTTCCCAGAGGTGCTACCTTGGATAACTCCGGAGAGACAGGTAGAGTTCAGGATCGACCTGGTCCCTGGTGCGACTTCGATAGCCAAGTCACCATATTGGTTGGCTCCTCCTTAGATGCAGGAGTTGTCTACATAACTGAAGGAGCTATTAGACAAGGGATTCATTAGACCAAGCCGTTCACCCTGGGGAGCCCCGATCATGTTTGTGAGGAAGAAGGATGGGTCTCATCGGATGTATATAGATTATCAGGAGCTGAACAAGGTAACGGTGAAGAACCATTACCTACTCCCGATGATTGATTATCTCTTCAACCAGCTTCAGGGGGCATCTTGGTTTTCCAAGATTGATTTTTGGTCAGGCTACCATCAGATGAGGGTCAGAGACGAGACGTATAGAAGACTGCTTTCCGCACTCGCTACGGCCACTATGAGTTCGTGTTGATGCCCTTCAAGAACCGCGTATGCAAACCAATGTTGGATCGGTTTGTGATTGTTTTTATTGATTATATATTGGTTTACTCCAAGACACATTAGCAACATGAGGAGCACTTGCGAGAGCTTTTAGATACCCTGAGGAGGGAGAGCTTGTACACCAAGTTCTCTAAGTGTGAGTTCTGGTTGCGCGAGGTGCAGTTTCTTGCGAGAGGTTGTGATAAGATGGGAGGTTGCGAAGTCTCCATCTGAGATTTAGAGTTTCTTTGGATTGGCATGCTATAATCGGATATTCATTAAGGACTTCTTCAAGATAGCCGTACCCTTGACCCAGTTGACGAAGAAAGTTGTGGTCTGTCGTTAGGGGCCTGAGCAGCAGGCATCGTTCGAGACATTAAGGCAGAGGCTATAACGAGGTACTGATCCTCGCCTTTCCAGAGGGGTGGAGGATTTTGTTGTATGCTGCGATGCGTCCATCTCATGGTGGGCGCATTATTGATGCAGAGAGGGCATGTTATTGCTTACGCCCCGAGGCAACTGAAGCCTCACGTGGCAAACTACCCAACGCACGATTTGGAGGGGCGGTTGTCATTGCCCTCAATTTGGCAACACTACATCTATGGCGCCCGATGTACCATTTACATGGACCACAAGAGTTTGAGGTACCTTATGGATCAGTTGAATCTGAACATGAGGCAGCGTCGGTGGCTAGATTTGGTGAAGGATTACGATTGTGAGATCCTCTACTCTCCAGGGAAGGCCAATGTGGTGACCGATGCTCTTAGCTGCAACGCTGCACTATCAGAGAAATTTGCTTACAGATGACAGTAGTGACACCACTATTTGAGCAGATCTGAGACACCCAGGACGAGGTTATGAAGGAGGAACATTGGAAGAGCGAGCGTATTGTGGGCAGGTTTCTTCTTCGACTATAATAGCCATGGGTTTTTGACACTACACTGTAGGGTGTGGATTCCATACCATGGAGATGTGCGCCAGGTGCTGATGGAGGAGGCACACAAATCCATGTTTTCTATTCATGGAGCTCGATGTGTCACAAAAACCACATGATTTGATTTTAAAATTTTCATAACTTTATATATTTTATAAACCTTGACGAGACATGCCAAATATCAAAACAACATCATAGAAGTTAGGCAAATTTTCAAAATGAGACATCATTTTGAAAGTATGAATTTCATACTCTTTGTAATATATTATTGTATTATATAACAAATCATCATAGTAAATGTAAATTTTCTTTTGTTTATTAGATTTAGCAACATTAATGAGGCAAGAAAGGGTACCTAAAACGTAAACCATAAATACGCCAACGCCAACAACCCCCTAATACGCCACATACACAAAATATAGCTTGACGTACATATTACCTTAATTCAAACACAACAAACCCTATATGACATACAAGATAAAATTTATTAACTCAAAATCAAACAACATTCAAGTGACTGTTAGTTTTACCGATTTAGATCTAGAACTCTAATTTTTTTAGCTCCATTTGTATTTTTGTTAAGTTTATGATATTATCAAATCTTAATATAAACGTCATTAATAATTTTCTAACCAGAAATATTAATAGAATAATGATTTATCGATATATAACATGATTATTTATACACACACAACACACACACATATATATATATATATATATATATATATATATGTGTGTGTGTGTTTTGTGTGTGTGTGTGTGTTTGTGTGTGTGTGTGTGTCTGTTTACTTGTTTTTTTGACATTAACCTCTTGTATAAGTTGATTTGATTACAAAGAAACTCATTGGGTTCGATATACCATGAAAACCACATGAGTTGAATTTGAAATCTACCATTAAATCTTTATCCGTTTTCTTAATATCGAAGGGACATTTTGCATGTCAACACAATCTCATAAGAGGTCACCAAATGTTCACAATGTGATAATACTTTGATGTTATGAGATTATTGTACAATTATAATAGCTTTAACCAATGATTTTATACATTATACAAGTATCCCTCAGTTAAAAAATATAAAAATTTTGCTTATTAGATTTAGTAGTAATGGCAAAAGAGGGTGTCCAAACCATTAACCATGGATACACCCACCCAATGCTAATAAGTCATATGATGCGGTGAAAGAGGTTATACAAAGCACAAACTATATACATCCACCACAACCCTGAAAAATACCATGATTTACGAGAAGAGAATCATTATATCAAAAACTAGTCAAACTAAACGTCCTTAACAGGATTTCTTTTCGTTTTTCATCTTTCATTGTCACATGTACGCTCTCAATGTTAGAAAATCTATGACCTAAACGGAATTTGAAAATCATCTCTAATTTAATTCATTTTTAAATTATTATGTATCTTACCATTTATATAATTAAAAAATATTTATATTTATATCAATTTATCAATTTTGAAAAAACTGGTTGCCTCCACATATATTTGAGTGAGTAGGGTTCCACTTCAGTCTTCACCATGTGATCATCAGAGTTCCTCCTCTTATCCAACGAGTTCATGCTCTTGTAGAGTTGTAGTTACTTCTATACTTTCTACGTATGGAATGTTATCCCATGAACCCAAAACAATCATGTGTTATCACACAAGAGATAATCAATCCACATTTCCGACGGACGACTATTAGTGATGAGCTGGATCATTTGCCCGGATTGTGGGTTTGTGTTCTTCGGGTCTGTCATAAATTACATTCCCAATTTCCCTTCTTCGATGTTTTCGAGAAAAGGGGTTCTAAACCAAACCCCATCACCGAACAATCATTAGGCTAGTAGGGTTTCTTGATTTCTTCTGGACCCTATATGGCTTCTTCATCATCGAACAAGTCTTGCCTCTATTGCAAGGACTCTTCCTCCGATTGCTTTAGCAATGGATGGAAACTCCGCAACGGTGAATTCGCGCAGCTCTGCAATCGCTGCTCGTAAGCCTCCTCTCTCCTATCTCACACTTGGATCCAGTTGAATTTCCTATACATCGTTCATAACTACTTTAGTTTAATTCCGATTCGATCACTGTATTCTGTATTCTCCATGTCGATCTTATAGGTGTTAGTTCAATTGATTATTTATGGTCGACTCTCTGTGGGAAATTCTGATTTGTAGCAGTCTCGCAATTGTTTTTATTTTTTTATTTTTTTTTAAAGAGATTAGTCTCACAGTAGTTCATAACTTGCATGCTGAATTCATACTTCATTTATACAAACCCCGATTTGAAATCCAACAAAATTAGAATGATTTTCAATACGATTTACCCTTTATTTCGTCTGATCATATGGAGAAAACATCCAATTGACAATGTTTGAAGGTTCGAACTCAAACAAGAAAGGAAAGAAAAACAATTCAAGCTATCTTTTCTTGTTTGTGTATAAAGTTTTGTAGGGATGCAAGATTTGATGACCATAATCTTTAAAAATGTAAAATCTTTTCTAACCCAATTTGTATCTTGAATCCTTATAGCCATTTATACAATACGGGACGATTCTGTGTAACATTTCATTCAAAAGAAAACGGTTGGAGGAACTGTAACTCTTGTGGGAAGGTGAGTAAAATTCCGAATTTGTCCCTTCGATTTCTTCTTAACTCAAGGGTAGTTTTTTGAATATGCAAACCAATATTTATTCATTTTCATTTTGCAGTTCGTCCATTGTGGATGTATTATGTCACTTGGTGAGTATTCGCTGTCGGATTTCCATGGGGTGATATGCACGGACTGTTCAAGGACTGAATGCATTAGCCCGGAATCGGAATCATTGATTCCGTTGTTTGAGAAAGTACTGACTGCTAGTGATACCGGTACCCAGTTAGGCCGGTTTATAATTCCAAAGGAACATGCAGAGGTGAAGAAAGGCAAAGAATTTACAATATTTGGATTCTAACTGCGTAGATTTAGAATGTACTAATATTAATAAATATGCATGATTTTGATGTTTAAACAGGATCATTTCCCAGAAGTTAATGATCCTCAAGGGATCCCAATGAGTGTATTGGATACAGCAGGAAACGAATGGGATCTTTCCTTCCGTTATTGGATACATGTAACCAGCAAAATGTACGTTTTAAAAGGGCTTCGAAATTTCATAATTTTGAACAACTTACAAGCAGGAGATACAGGTGACTCTTGATTCTTTTGTTAAGTTGTTTCTTAAATGCCTATGATTTAACTTCAACTAAGAGTAATCCCTTTATTTTTCAGTGGCTTTTTGTGCAAGGGAGTCGGATAGAAAGTTTGTGATGGATGTGAGGAAAAGTGGCTAGGGTTTTGAAGAATCTTGATATGGTACTTTGTTGCAGATGGAATTTGAGTTATAAAGTTTAAAGGTTTTGCTTTTAGTGTTGTAGCTATTGGCATAGGAAGACATAAGATTGTTGTTTTGATATTTCATGTTGTTTTATATTTGACATATATATAGAGAACTTTAACTTGAAGTTTACGTACTTTATGAGTATTAGCTCATTACATATGTATGACCAGTCCTTTTACCTTTATGAATACCTTTTTCTTGATTAATTAGTTTGAGAATCTCTTATAAGATTCTATGTTAAATTTTTAAGCAACCAAGAATAGAAATAAGTACTATTTTTCCTAAGTTTTTATGGTAGATTGATATTATGAATAATTTTTAAATATGTTCATATACTAAAAACGGAATTAAACTAATTTGTAAGGGTGGTCATTGTTTGGTTTGCAACCGAGGAAACTAAAAACAAAATTCAGACTAAACCAAATTTCAAATTTAGTTTTCTTGTTAATTAGTAGAGTTCAAACCAAACAAAACTAATTTACCAAATTAATTAATTAATTATTTTTATTGATTAAATATTATATTTTTTATACTTTAAAAATAAAATAGAAAACTAAAAATATATTTTGATATTTCATATTTCATGGATACATCATACATCAACCTGAATTACAACATCTCAAAAGTTACTTCCTTTAACCTATGTTCTATTTGAAACTTTATATTGATGTTGATATTTTGGATTTTATGTTTGAAAATTTTAAAATTTGCATTTTATTTTAAACTTAAAATTTGGTTTTTCTATTTCCAAAACAAACCAAACTCATCAAGTATAATTTGTTTTTTTTTGTTTGGTTTGAGTTGTTGTAAATTTGATTTTGTTTGGTTTGAACCGAAATAAATTCATACTATGGAAATTAAACCAAAAAAAAAAAAAAAAAAACTAAGAAACCATAAACTGAATCAGTTACTACCGCTACTAATTTGCCACTATTATTAGAATTTAGAAACCATTACAAAAATTAAGAATTTTGAAAAAATAAATTTTGATATTTATGATATTAATCCCTAAAAATTTAAAATAAAAGTTTTATTGTATGGATCACTTATTTTATTGGTGTTCATGCTCATGCTCATGCAATATCAAATTTATGACTTGTTGTGGTTTCTCTTATATTTTCAAGTTTCAACATATGAAATTTCTATCTCACCAATTCAAAACAAATATATTTTGCAAGACAAAAAAGATCCATATCCAAACGACATTTTCCCTATTTACGACTGGATTCTTCGCCTAGATTATGGGCTTTTGTTCTTCGGGCCTGTGTATAAATTATCATCAGATTTCAAGAATCCCCATTGGCAAATGTTCTCTATGTTTTTTTGTGTTCGTCTAGAATCTTTAATTGCTTCTTTATAAGCCAACAAAATTTTCTTCCGTTGGCATGACTCATCCTCCGATTACTGAGAAACACCTCCTAAAAATACCCTCAGATCTCCCATTGCTGCATGGAAGCATCCTCTCTCTCTCACATACACACACACACACTCACACACATACATTCAAATACTATTGAATTTATTGGTATTTGGTTCGTATATTTTGAGTTTACTCCGATCATGTTGAGGGCTTATAGGTCGGTGTATTCCATAATCTCTTATGAGCTGATTTTAATTCTTCTTTATATGGTCGAACCTTTGTGGAAAGTTACGATAACAGGATTAGACTTAGTCGTGAGATGAAACTATTCTTCCATTTTAAGTTTGCATCTTTTCTAAATTTCTCATGCATTGCCGTTAATATTCATACATTATATATGATTTCTTCTACTTTACTCCATTTAAGGAGACAACGACTCCCATCTTTGCTAGTCCGATCCACCTCTATTGGTTCTTCTCTGTTTCGGGTAATTCCTTTTCCTTTTAGATTTCTCTAGGAAAAAAAATATAAGCATTCAAAAGTCATTACCAGTTTATTGGTATTTGATTTGATTTGGACTGAAATAAATTTATACTGTGGAAACTAAACCAAACAAAAACCCTAAGAAACCATAAACGGAATCAATTACTACCGCTACTAATTTGCCACTATTAGTAGAATTCAGAAACCATTACAAAAATTAAGGATTAAAAAAAACATTGTTATGTATCATATTAATCCCTAAAAGTTAAAAATAAAAGTGTGTTGTATGGATCACTTATTTGTTAGTCCATGCTCATGCTCATGCAATAGCAGATTTATGACTTTATTATATAACATTTGATTAGAGTTAATGCTCTTGTGATTTCTCTTCTTATACTTTGAAGTTTCAACATATAATTTCTATCTCACAAATTCAAAACAAGCATATTTTTAACACAAAAAAGATCTATATCCAAACGACATTTTTCCTATTCCGACATCACAACTACGGTGGGTTGGATTCCTACGGGCTTGTGTTCTCGGTTCTGTCCATAAATTATCATCAGATTTCAAAAATCCCCATCACCAAATGTTCTCCAGGGTTTCTTGAATTTGTCCAGAACCTTCAATGGCTTCTTTATAAGCCAACAAGTTTTGCTTCCAATGACATAACTCTTCTTCTGATTACTTGAGAAACGCCTCTTGAAAACACACTCAGATGTGTCATCGCTGCTTGTAAGCATCTCTCTCTCTCTCTCTCTCTCTCACACGCAAATACAATTGAATTTATTGGTATTTGGTTCGTATATGCTGAGTTTAGGCCGATCATGTTGAGGGCTTATTGATTGGTGTATTCCATAATCTCATATGAGCTGATTTTATTGCTTCTTTATATGGGTGAACGTTTAGGGAAAGTTATGATAACTGGATTACTCATCTTATTCTGTAGATGCAAATCATGTTTATGAAGTGTTCTTCATTTTAAGTTTGTATCTTTGCTAAATTTCTCATGCATTGCCATTAATATTCATGCATTATGATTTCTTCTACTTTACTACATTTTAGGATAATGACTCCCATCTATGCTATTCCGATCCACCAGAATTGGTTCTTTTCTGTTCCGGATAAATCCTTTTCTTTTTAGACTTCTATCTAGGAAAAAAATATAAGCATTCAAAATGTATATGTCGGGATCCAAATAGAGTCTAAAAGAAGAGGATATATCAGGAATTGAGAGGAATTAGTGGAGGCGGCTACTGAGATGTCCAAAAGTCAAGAATCCTGATCACGAATATTGGAAAGTAGGAATGAATATTTCATGAGAGGGAAAATGTTCTCATCAAAAATGAGAATGATAAAGGTAAACGTTTTTTATCATCAACGACGAGAACGAATCATTTTAACCATATTAAGTTGACTTTCATCGCCTCAAATATAGGATGTTGAGTAACAAGTTTTGTTAAAACTAACGTTCTTTTTCAAACTAATGCATCTTATAATCGATTTTCCTTGTACCCTTCATAAGATTCTTAATAATCATTTATTTAGGGGTTATTTCGTATATCTGGTGAACTTTTGGATTGTGCCTCGTTTTGTCTAAACTTATAGGATTGTTGGACACACGGATCTTTTGTGGATTGGGTTTGGATGGGTTTACTTGGTTCTGGTGTAATATTTGATATGAAGATCAACCGGAAGTATAAAGGGTGAATGCATTTGTTTCTTTCATAACTGTGATTCATATCAGACACTCTACTCACAAACTCTCTTGTTCTCTCATATTCATCGATAGATTAGGGTTCTTATTTGAGTTCTTCATTGTTCATAGAGTTATTTTGTGTTTTAGGTTTAGTTGAGTGTAGATTAAAGAGTGTTTTGTAGTGAGGATTGGTTGTAGAGTGTTGAGTGATTTGTTGTAGAGAATTTTCAGTTGTAAGCTTTGTGAAACGAACTAGTTCTTTATAAATAAAATAATAGTTATTGATTTTGGGGAATTCTTTGGAGCCATTTTCGATAAGTTTGAGAGTTTTGTCTTCTTTGGGCTAGAGTTCTGTTGCATCTCATCTGGTCTTGTTTGATCTAAAGTTTCTAGTGTGTTTAGATCTGGGTCGTTGTTCAGATCAATTTTAGTGTTGATCAAGGGTCTCCTATGTTCTTAGGCCCCATATTTGTTTTTGATCGGCCTTGTTTCTTGATATGTCTGGACCTATTAATTATAATTGGGATTTGTTTCAACTAGATATCAATAATGGTTTTCTATATTGTGAACTTGATGAAAGTGTTATTTGAGTCTTCCAGCTCGATATCACAATAAAGTTGATAATAGGGTTTGGAAACTCTTAAAATCTCTGTATGGCCTTAAACAAATACATAGGAAGTGGAATGAAAAATTATGTTCCTCTCTTCTTGAATTTGGGTTTCTGAAAATTATAAATGGTTTGTCCTTATTTCTGAAATATAAGAATAGTTGTTATTCTATTAGTATATGTGGATGACACTATATGAATTGAAAATGATTTAGTTGAAATTATTGGTAATGTTAAACTTTTTAAAATCTATGTTTTTAATTAAGGATTTGAGAAAACTTAAAATTTTCCTTAATATTGAAGTTATTGATGTTTATAATTTGTTTGTCTCAAAGAAAATAATGCTTAGAACATGGTAAGTCGGCACCTAGAATTCCAAAACAGGGTAGGTCAGGCACCCCAGAATTTCTTGGCAGTATGCATGTTATATGGTATGTGGTATGATGGGGGTACTCACTATGCTTTGTGCTTACAGCTTTCAGTTTTGTTTTAGGTACCTCTTCAGTGAAGGGGAAGGAATCGGCACGGTAGCAACGCATCGCACACACATGATTTCCGCACTATGATGTTCCTAGGATTGTACTCTGACTTTATTATTATTCCACTACAAATTTTATGATATTTGACTTATTGGATTGTGGTTTGTTATGATATCGATCATGTTTTTTCGTAAACTGCTTTATAAGTTACTCAATTAAAAACAAAATTTTTGTTCTTGAAAATTGGGATGTTACAAGTTGGTATCAAAGCCTTGGTTTGAGGGATTCGGGCACACTTTCGGGTGTGTTTGAACTCAAACTAAGG